TTTTAGCTCCCACATTAAATGAAATGAATTCAAAAGCAACGACTATTATTTATGAGGATCAATCAACTCAATCATGGTTACCTGATGTGATCACAATGGCATGGTCATATTTTAAATCAACCATTCAACATGAACAACAATCAATAATTTTAAGTCAATGGATTTATTGTCAATCACCAATTATTCCATTAATTGTAAATAAACCATCATGGTGGTTTTTTACATTTGATAATTGTAATGAATTGAAAATAAATGTAAGTTACTTACTTACGATTGTTACTCTTAAAGGAGAGCATAGGCCACCGACCAGAATTCTTCAACCTACTCCGTCATGGGCCTTCTTTCCTAGTTCTGCCCAATTATTGTTTATTCTTCTAATATCTGTCTCCATTTCTCGGTGTTATGTGTTCATTGGTCTTCCATATCTCCTTTAGCTTTGAGAATTCCAAGTGAGGGTTTGTATTGTGATGAAGTTAGGTGTTTTCCTCAATTTGTGTCGTCCTATCCACTTCAAACGCTTCTTCCTGATTTCTTACTCCGCTGAAATTTATTCTGTTCTCTACCACAGCTCATATTTCGATCTTGTCTATTATTCGTCCATAATCTTGTTTGTTCATACTTGAGTGTGTGTATGTGTGTGTGGATACTCCAAGCGGAATTGGTATATAACGTATCTCATGAGTTAGTTATAATTGTATTTAAAATTATATGCCTTCATCGTTAAATAACCTTAGTTAAACAGCTATTGAGAACAAGGGAGCTCTGAACGTCTATTTTGTATTATTATGGAACCCGGGGATGTAACCCAGTATAGTTTTGTCTCATTATGAGTTCCTGACCGTCAAGATCATTAACCTTGTATCCAATAGTTTACTTTTCGAATTTTATTCAGTTCACGGTATAGTGAAACTGTTTCAAATCTAACGTATCTGAACTTCATTTATCAAGATTTCTCATCGCAACTCCATCGATCACTTCGAAAAATCAATCACTGTTGATAATGTCATAGTTAACAGTATCATACTTCACATCACTAAATGGGTGATAGATTAGATCAGTCGGAAATTGACCTAATGATTCACTGATAAACGACTATTATTTCTAAGAGATGAAAGACACACCAGAGTTGGCTAATGATATAGTTCTAACTGGTGAAAACGCTGACAAAATATTGATTCGTCTGACCATCTTTAGCAGCAGTACAAGGCTTTTCAGGATACGATTCTCCCCCTCAAAATGCACAATGTTGCTTTAGGATTGACTTGCGCCAGTATCTGAAATAGTGGTAGGCAGTGAGTTAGTTGAGCGTGTTAGATCAAGTGGTTGGGACATGTGTTATCTATGTCCAACTACCGACTACGTTGATGATTTATGCGCTCTAGCAATGGAATAGGCTGTAAGTAAACTTGTGGTGGCCAAACCAAAACATGTCACTAATCCATTAAGTCATTGATAATTGGACTGAGCCATGTCGGTAGGTGTACACTATTTGATTAAAGGCCTCGGAGACGATAGTAAGCGATGGTCAGAGACCTTGAATAATATGGCTCAAAATAGTTTGCAATGGCGCAGAGGCATACATTCTTTGTGTTTTCTCAAATCCTATTCTTTTGAATTCCCCACCACCTCTGCCTTTCTCTCTCGCAATTTACGTCACTGGATTATACTTCTCGATTCCTATCTTCAAATCCTAATCTTTTCTATTAGCGCCATTACTTCCACTACCTCCACTACTATGGGATTTGAATCGACAATTTAATCTCTGTGTGCTAATTTGGTATGGCAACTTGAACTGATGTACGTACGTACAAAGTTCTACCTTGTGGCTGATTGACTAGCTTTTCTTTTATTAAGTTTCATATTGGTAATATTTTTATAAACAAAAAAACATAACTAATATTTATTATAGTATAACAATCTGTTTACTTTCAGCTCTATTATAGTACACTCACCTATTAAATGAATGAGAAAATACCCGAAAATGCTTCATACATCGAATTTATATTAAATAACTTTTCAATTAGAATTATGGAGATCATTGTTTTTACACTAAACTCTAGTTAGAAGACGTGACCAACGGAGTTCAACCCTGTTGAGTGTAGGCAGTCATAACTAAAGACAAATGGGTGTGGTCATGCAGTGGATGTTGGCCCAGTGGTTCAGAGGTTAGGCAGTAGCGCTCAGGAACTTAGGCTCTGGGCTCAAATTCTGAGAGTAACAGGACTCATGGATGAGCAGTGCTAATGAGTCTCATACCAGGACGGAATAGCGGTCTAGTTCTTCCAGGTTTTTGATGGTGGTTTAACAATGATTCACTCATGATTTCAATGTGAATATGTTGAACAATTAAAAATAGATGCTATACAGTTTCACAGACATATATCGTATCTTATCTAAGTTGATAATGTGTACCATAAAATACTTGTCATGATTCATTAAGCAAATATGTCTACTGAGTAAAAGAAGCGATTAACAAATTCAAACTGTTGTGTAACTCTTTAATATCTTCTTCCATTTTGTATTTGTGATAAACTTTTCATGATAATAAGAAAACGACTTTTTAAGAATGCCAAAACATGTAACCAAATTCGAAACTACGGTTATTCAAAAACATTCTTGTAACCACAATTGGATACCTGGAATCACTAGATGGCTATTTTGTCCGGCTATGGGATTCATCAGCAGTGCGCATCCACGACTCCTTGATTGTGAGGAGTGACCTTCAGTGTAGCGCGCGGAAGCATAACCTCCGAATCACGGTGTTAGTGTCTAACTTTGATCAATCTACGCTACCTCACCCGTTTGTCCTCGATAGATACTACCTACACCTGACGGGGTTAAACTTCACTGGCACTCCGAGAATTCCCTCACGAAGCTAGTCTTTAGTGAGCATATTGTACAATTTTTTTTATCATGGAATTGATAGAGATTGTTATTTATTACTGAAATATGAATTATTCATTGTTGGAGTCACCCTGCTGATGAGTCCTATACCAGGATGAAACAACTGTCTAGTGGTTTTGGGCTCTTAATGGTAGTCTAACACAAATATTGATTCATCATTTCAGTAATAACATAAACTAGTCAGATTATTGTTACTGCTCTGTTTTGTTTTTTTTGTTCACAATTTTTAGAATCTAATTGAAACATCCATCAAATCACAACATTCCTATGCAAGGAATAAAATTGCTTATCGTATGACATTACGTAATGGTGAAAGTGGTGATTTGTTTCATGAACACTTTTCTTCACAAGAATTCGGTAAGCGTTAATTGTTTTTTGTTTGTTTTCGAATAGGGAAAAAAACTCAATTATTTTTAGATACGTTTTTGTTTTAATGAATGATTCGGTTTGGATTTATTGTTACGGTTTCCGGTAATAGATGAAGACTGTACAATAATATTACTATACCGATAAGGGAAAGGTACTCAATGTATATTTCGACTGATAGAGGTGTTGGAGATGTTAGATCCCCGAAACTCGCTTGATAAATGCCTTATTTTGGTTCTCACGTTTGCCAGAATGGGCTGACCAGTTGACCCTGAAATTCCATTTCCCACCAGGAAAATCCATGGCCGTGATTGGCTGCTGTGTATTTTAGGGTGCTATTTTCTTAACTGTCCCAAGGACGTTTCTATGATGTATAACTAAACTAGAGTTGCATGCTTGATTGTACTGTGATTGCTGGGTGTTTGTAGAATATATTTTCTACGCTTACAAAGCGTTTTATCTTCAGCTTGGGTTTAAAGGTAGCCTACCTGGACGCTGATAATTGTCTCGTTCGCGTTTATCGACTAAGGTCAACTCGTAATAGCTTCAAGCGTACCTAGTGACAAACCCTACAAGAGGAATTACAAGATCGGTTCAAACTGTACCTCAATGAGAACCAATGGATCTGGACATAAAAACTAGATAAGTTGGTAAACATAGCATGATTATTCTATACAAAAGATTTATCGTTTCATAATACACATTACAATTTCACCAACCTTAAATCAATCCGTTTGGGCAGCATCATTGACAAGCAAGATGGAACTGATGCAGATGTGAAAGCGCGGATCGGCAAAGCAAATGCTGCCTTTCTACAAGTGAACAACATGTGGCACTACAAACAACTATCAATCAACACAAAAATCAGAATTTTCAATAAAAATGTCAAGACAGTTGTACTGTACGGCTCAGCAACTTCGAAGGCTACCAAAAGCCATCAGCCACAAGATACAAATATTTATTAACAGTTGTCTACGTAATATACTCCACATCTGTTGGCCAGACACTATCAGCAACAACGAACTGTGGGAGAAAACAAACCAGATTCCAGTGGAGGAGGAAATCAGGAAGAAGCGGTGGAAGTGGATAGGACACACACGACGAAAAGCACCTAACTGCGTCACGAGACAAGCCCTCACATGGAACCCTCAAGGCAAAAGGAAAAGAGGAAGGCCAATGAACATATTACGCCGAGAAATAGAGAAAGACATGGGAAGAATGAACAAAAAATGGGAAAGAATTGGAAAGGAAATCCCTGGACAGAGTTCTTTAATGAAAGCTGGCCGGCGGTCTATGCTCCATTGGGGGTAACAGGCGAAAGTTAGTAAGTAAGTAAGTATATACATCGTATGGCATAAGACAGTAAATGTAGCGCAGTTTGACACTTAATACTTTTCGTCGCATGTCTGGACAAGTTTTTTTATTGCATTATTGAAATTTTAATATTTCAGACCATATGCGATCTGAGTTAGGGATGGCATCTTTGGCTTATAAAATCACTGAACTCGATTCGACTCTTTCTGACCAATAATTATAAACACAGAATAATCGTTAATGAATACATTATGAAATATGAAGTGCCGTAAAGTGAAATCAATAGTGGGAAGAAATTTATATAACAATATTATGTATCATTACTTACTTACTTACTTACTTACTTACTTACACCTGTTTCCCTCCCCCTAATGGAGCACAGGCCGCCAATCAGCATTCTGCAACCTACTCCGTCCTGCAGCCTTCCTTTCCAGTTCTCTTTATAACTGATGATATCTCATTGCATTAAGTGAATTCAAGTGTCAATTTGTCACCAACAAATATCCTACAATACTTACACATCACACTGATTTGTTATCAAAATTGTGTACAACTAAAACATTGTTTAATAAGATTAGCGGTGTAAAAAAAGAAATATTTTTTTTATCATTTTTCAACGTGGTCAATTAGACAAGAAACAAATTATTTGTTGAAATGATTGATGAAAAAAGTGGGGACAAAAATCCATTTTCTGATTAAATAAATTACATTACGAGTGATTTGTGTAAAGTGATAATTATTTGTACAATCGCTTGACAGTATATTCTTTATGTTAGTTAAGTTAAGTTTCTATTGACCTCATGAATGAAAAAAAAATCTAATACATCAGTTTACACAAATAATTAGTGGTTTAAAATTAATTGATACCTTTTCGAGAATCAATGAAAATTTTTTTGAACACCAGGACATCTGATTTCATGTTAGTTTGATACTGAATACAAAAAACTTACTCACTATTGCACACAAAAATAGAACCTAACACATTTTGAGCTTGTTGTAAGGATGATACATTGAAATTAGAGAGTTATTTTTTGAAAAAGCACGTATTTTCAGTGATATCAACACTGTTTATATCAGTAGAAATAATGTAGACCTATCAAAAGTACTCCTAAAGCCATTCTCAAGTTACTTCTGGTCGCAAGCCCAGATAAAGAGACAGGGTTGGTAATGCGGTTAGCGACTGCATCCCGTAGAAATCCAATTCACAAGATATTAAAAAACATACTATTCAGATTAATGAGAAAGATTTCTTGTTCAGCACAGCCGTGAACTGATTTCTCTAGCTTGAAACCCATTCAAAGAAGTGTCAAGGATAGGGTATTGCTTTTCGGCCACATCAGTATGTATTTATCACTTTACTTGCTCTTTCGAACAAGTTATATTGACCATACCAAGAAAGAGTGCATTTAGTTAGAGAATATCCAAGAACTAGCCTAAATGGCTTACTACAAAAGAATTCAACTCAATCAGCAGTTTAATATTAGAACATACAATGAACTCTGATCACAATTCACTGCATGAAATGTCTTTCAAAATCTTCTATAAAGTGAGAGCAAAAACCGAACAAGAAAATGTTGACAATAATAACTTGTAGTAAATAGAAATCTTTTGCCAATTAACTTTCTTAAATGTCCTAAACTCGTCATGATCTATTTTCTACCCAAGAATTTGTTTATTCATTTTATTTCTTATATAAAAATCAGTCAATCAGTAACAATGTAGAACTTTGTACATAGGTGGTACATCAGTTCAAGTTGCCATACCATATTAGCACAGAGATGCAAATGTCAGTTCACATCCCACAGTAATATATGTATTAGCAGTAAGGAAGAAGAAGATTAGGGGTTGAAAATGTTATTCAAGAAGTATAGTCCAGTGAAATAAATTGAAAATGAGAAAAAACGGTCATAAGGAGTTCATACTATTAGGATGTGGGGTAAAACACAAAATGGATGAACCTGCACCATTGCAAACGATTTTAATTCGTGTCATTCAAGGTCTCTAATCATCGGTTACTGTCATCTTGCGGACCCTAACCACGTAGTCTATATTTACTCAAATAACTCGGTCCCATTGTTAGTAACTTCATGGATTTCTGCCATGTTATGATTTGGCCGCGCCTCTGGCTTTCTTCGAACCTATTCCTACATCGCAAACCATTGCTCGACGAGGTAGTCATTAGTTAGGCATACGTAACACATATCCCAACCACCTAAACTGATGAGGATTCACTACTTCGTCAGTTGATTCGCCATCTTTACACAGTACTGGATTCCTTTCAACAGCCTTGCTTACTCGGTTGTCCTAAGACACACGACCAATGCTTCGAAAACATCGATGATCGAATACTAGTAACCTACGAATATCCTCTACTCTTATTGGCCATGTTTAGTATCCATAAAGTATGATGCAGAGAACTGCTACACAGTAGGCTTGTCCTTTGACTTGCAGACCGATATCTCGCCTACGTCATAAGTGACGCAGTTTGGCAAAAGCCAATCGAGCCTTCTGTATTCGTTCCGAGATTTCGTTAGTCACCAGACCCTAAGCACTTATGAGACTTTCGGAATAAGTGAAATGGTCAACAAGCCCAACGATTTCACTCCATATCACTATATTGTGTATTATTAATATGTTGAGCCCACACGTCTTTACCGAGACATCAGACTATTTAATCAGTCCATTCTTCTCGAGTCATTATTCATATGTCTTTTGACCTTGTCAATCATTCGCTCATATGCTTTTTGTTTTTCTTCTGTGTGTGTACCGTTTACTTCGCTTATCACGTGTGTAGCTTATTTTTGTCTGACTATAGATACTTAGCCATGCCTCACATCACATTGAGTTGGTTCATTAACATTCTCCACTCCGCTTCACATGAAATAAACTCATCTAAATAAATCTGTATTCGACTTCTTATTACCACTGTCACATAAACGACATTCACTTAAGCATAACATACAAAATTGGAAGGGAAGATTTATTTCATAGCCTATTCACAATCATTGGTTCAAATTATACTCAGATCGCAGGCCAGTGAAAAATTGTTACATTTGTCAATTAGAATAATGATAATAATATAATAGATGATAATTATTTGATTATGAAAATGATTTATAATATCAATATTATTTACAAAATAATCTCATTTACATATTTATATAATTTAACATGTTACTAAAAATTCAAAATTGTGAACTCTTTCTTTTCGAAATTCAATTTACAATTGTGTTCATTATTCAATACATGCTAATCTAGTTCAATTGAAGTCTAAGATTATTTATTTGATGCAAAAAATTCTGCTAGATAAACCTTTTAGACATAAAGTCACCTATCATACTCCTTCTATCCTACTCCTACAATCGATAATAAAGTATTTTCAATGTTATTGACAGTGTAAACATATGTTTAAAATGAATAGAAACTTTTTCTCATTGTTAAGCTACATTTTTGTACATTGGTGATTTAGGTATTTGCAGGAGAGAAAAAGAAACAGCATGATCAAGTTGTTGTGTACTCAATGACATTACCGTTTTTTTTTTTCTTTACTTTCATTTTAGGCAAACTGGAAATTGATCTAATATTTTTTATACTACTAGGATTATTGTTTTCAGTAGCAAATTTATTACTATGTGAGTTGATCTATCGATTGGATTCGATTAAAATCTATTCAATGGTTTCATAGTTAAATGATTGTTTTTTTTAATAACAGTAAGATTAAAAAAATGAGTTTGTTGATGTTAAATTAAGATTTTTACGTCTTATGACTTTCAAGAACTAGAATATGTTTAGTTAGTCAAATCACTAGATGATAAAGTCCACTGACCGGCAGAGTCATCTTATACATACTTGACTGGCGACATTCAGTTTAAACAATATACAAATAGCCTTTTTTGTCAGCAGGTTTTCTTTTCCACGGGATGAGGTTGTTAACTCCATACCGAATCCTCCTCCTTGGGATTGGCAGTAACCCCACAGGGGCTCTACGTCGAGTTAACGTCTAGTAATGAACAAAAATTGTAAATGTTGTTGGTCTAACACATCTCTTTCGATCTTCAATATTCAATCATAAAACGGAGGTAGTGAATCCCTGAAATTTATATTATTCTGATGGCGTTATTTTCAACATAACTTGAAAATGAACAGAACTTTTGAAAGCTTCCATTGGCATATAAAACTTATCGGTAAATGTATAATAAATATACTAACAATCTTAATTGACTCATCAGCTAATCATAAGACACTAAATAGTTATAAAACAGTTTACCTCTAAAAACCATGAAATATCAGTGAATCAATAGTTTTGACTTGAATAATCAAACCTCACATATTGAATTATACCCTGTAGCGTAAGATTAACTTCAACTATTAAAAGTCAAGTTAGTGTTATGAGTTACGGGTGCAAGACCATACCAGCTTTTCATCAACAAATGAGATAAGCTATGATGCAAAAAAGGTCAGACTAAAGTTCTTAGTTTGTTATTTTACAAATTAGATTCAGAGTTTACATCACGAATTGATATTATTTATGATGACAGAATTTGTTATTCTATCGTTTCTGAACTAATGAGATTTACAGTTGAAATTTACACTGAGCAATAGAAAGGGATTGTATAATCTAGTTTTAATAAACACTATTAACAAAGTATTGCATCACAACAAGTATCATAACAATATGAGTTGTCTTGAGAGTAGTTGTGTTTTGGGAATTCGGATTAAGGAAAATCTTGGTTACAATTTTCGGTTTCATTATAGCAATTTCTATTGATTTCAGACATTCTGAGTATCGTAGTTGTCAATTTTCACTTCACTTCACTATTACATACAAGTTATTTATAAATGCACTTTAAATTTCACGAAAAATACATGAACCTTTATCTTGATTCTGATTGGTTCACTCAAGGCTGATCAGTATTTAATTACTGATGACTAACATACGTACTGACTGAGTTTCAGATCAACTGCATGTTTTTACACATTGCTATCATGAATGCATAACTGGTCCAGAGGTTGAGCGTTTATGCGCCAGACCGAAGGTCTGAGGTTTGAATCCTATGAGTAACAGGAGTCCTGCATGCACACTGATGATGAGTCGGAAAGTAGGACGAAACGGCCGTCCAGTGTGACGAGCTTTCTATTAATGGTACAACAATGATTCATTCATGATTTCAATGTGTATTAACACCGTCGTTTACTAACTTAGGGTTCAAAAGATTAAGCGTTCGCATGCAGTACCGAAGATCCTAGGTTCAATATCCCTTTTGTAGAGTTGTGGATGTACAATACTCATGAGTACAATACAATAGGACGAAACAACTCTTCAGTGCTTCCAGGCAATACTTGTTGTGATTCAATACGTTGTTAATAGTGTTTATTGAAACTAGATTATACAATCCATTTCTCTTGCTCAGTGTAAATTTCAACTGTAAATCCCAATATCGGATAAGGGAGGAGGGTTACGTATGGTGTTTGTGACACTCTCTGTCATAGAAATCCAACTCTCTAAAAAAATCGCTAAGCAAAAAACATTAATTTACTAGTCGGTTGCCCATACATACTTCATTAGGAATAATTTGTGTAAGCAATTAAGTAACTGTAGAAAAAGTGGGATTTTATTATTATTATTATTATTATTATTATTATTATTATTATCATTGTTATTATTGTTATTGATATGAACCTACCTTTCATATTTCTTCTATTTCTAGTTCAACTTTATCGTTCAAATCTATTACATCATACATTTATTTTATGGTATACTTCAATTGGTTTACGTTTTCTAGCACAATTAATTCAACTGATTGTAGATATAAATTTTGCTAAAACTGGTTATTTCAATGCATTCAACACATCGTTAGGTTAGTTAGAAAAAAGATTCATTTAAAAATGATTGTTTTGTTTTGTTTTGTAAACGATGACGAATTAACTTTAAATCATAGTGAATAATTACAGAATTTGAATATATAATATATAATATATAGTTTAATTTCAATATACTTGGATATCTAGTCAGTTAGTCAGTCAGTCAGTCAGCTGTAATGTAGTACTTGGTGCTCACATACGTTGGTACATTAGTTCAGGTGGTCATATCACTTTTGCACAGAGATGCATTTGTCAGTTCAAATCCTAAAGTGGTAGATATAGTAGAAGTATTACCGGGTTCGAAGATATTATTTATTACGTATAATTCAGTGAGATAAATTTAGAAAGTGAAAGATAGAGGTGATGAGGAATTTTAGAGAACACCAAGATTGGATGCATCTGCGCCACTGCAAACGGTTTTTTAAGCCATATCATTCATGGTCTCTAATGATCGATTACAGTAATCTCACGGACCCTAATCAGATTGTCTACACTTACCAATATGGCTCAATGCACTTCATGGATTTGTGCCACGTTTTGGTCTGGCCGCCGCCCATAGCTTTCTTCTAGCCTACTCCTTCACTACACAGTATTGCTCATCAAGGAACACGTTTGCTGGACATACATAACACATTTCCTAACTACCTAACCTGATAAACTGTGACTACTTAATTAATTGGTTTTCTATCCTTATCTAGAACATTTTTTCTAATCAAAACATTGCTTACTTGATATTGTCATGATGTGTGAACAACGAATTGAAGACACCTACAATTGAATACTAGTAACCTACAAATATCCTCTATTCTCGATGGGCAAGTTTTATATCCGTAAATTGAAACAAACCAAAATGTTGTACGATAAATTCTTTGTTTGATGAGTAGAAAATCATCTTGCCAACGTTTACTTCGATTTATATGTATGTATATTAGTTTCTCCCTAATTACAACAATTAGTATGAAGACGTCGATTTGCATACATATTGAATAAATCCATTTAGAATTAAATGAATTCGCTATAGTTGATCTTCAATAAATAAAGCTGTATAATCATGGAAATATTAAATTTAATTGAATGTGATTCAATAGAAAATAATTGAATATTTATGGTGTAGTGAAGGAGAACACAGGTGAGGACAACCAAATTGTATTCAACGAAAATTACAGAGTTACTCAGTAAAATAGGAAAACCATATCGTGCCGTTAATTTGCAAATCTTCAATCCATCATCAGTCCATTGTCTGACATTTCACTATTCATGCGTTTCATACAAATTCCATTGTGTTCCCACTCTTCCTTTCTTGATCTTTCCCCATCTTCTGCTGCCAGACATTACGTTTACACTTGCGTCATTTACTACTTATAAGTAGCGCGCACCACAATGGAACTATAAGTGAGCTTTGACGAAGCCAAAAGCTGTTTTTTTTAGATCACTATTAGAAGCGGACAGCTCTTTCGTCCTGTCTTCGATGAGCACTGTTTCATACCACCTACCTGAACAGGGTTGAACTCCACTAGTCACGACTTCTCACTAGAACTCGGAGAAACTTCCTAACGGAACTAGTCATTAGTAAGCACATGATAATTTGTTGAAATCATCAGTCTATCGATCATAGACTATCATTAGAAACCTTTAAAAAACTCTAGACAGTAGTTTCTTCCTTTTTTAGGACTCGTCAGGACCTCATCATTAAAATGAGGCTCAGTGGTTCAGAGGTTAGGCGTTTGTGTGCAATAGAGAAGGTCCTGGGTTCGGATACGGGGGCAATTTCTTTCATGTCCATCTTGTATACAATTTTCAAAACGAATTTTAAGATTTTTCTACAAAGTTTGATATCCCATCAAGTTCAAAGCAGAAACACTTTTGTATGATAATCAGAAAGTTTAACTCGTTTTAAGAGAAGAATTATTTTCTTTCATTATTGAATAAAAATGATGACCATTCACAAACGCATCGAATGGGCTCAATTACTATAAAAACAGATTGTTAATATAACACACAATTCAACTGTACTCCTAGAACTAATTAAATCCGTACTCTTAACTTTAAATGTCAAATGCTAAGCTTTCAATCTTAAATTTCTTAACTCTAAACCTTTGATTTTAACCAGCAGCATTGTGTGTACTACAATATTCTAGACGATAAGCATTCAATATTCATAAGGATGAATACGATTGTTGGTATTTGTGACTTTTTACAGTTTACACTAAGAGTTATGTAGCATTGTAGTGGGTACTAGCTGTAACATAAGTTCTAAATGGTATACATCGGAGTGTTGCACAGAAATTACTACAGGAGAGAAGAGTATCGGATTAGAAGATGAAGAGGAAAGATTTGAAGATATATGAAAGAAGACAGTTAGTAATCTGCCCTGATTTACAACAAATAGAAGTCAGAAGATTAACT